TCGGGGATGTGTGTGTAGGCAGGAAAACGGCATGCCACAAAAATGAGAGAGGGAGTCGTGCGTGAAGGAAAGGAATCCCTCTTTGCAAAAAAATGCAAGCTAGGAAATTGAGGGGGGGGGTTGCTCGGGGAGCAGGGGGGGGGGTTCGTCTCTTGGCAGAAAATAGGAGCGTTGCGATGAGAGAGATTGTCGTTCTTAAGGGAAAAAAGATTTTTAAAAAGATAGCAGCAAAAATGGACCGTCGCTGTGAAAGGTGAGAGCAGGGATTTCCAACTTTGGCAACTTGTGGACTTCAACTCCCAGAATTCCCCAGCCAGCATGGCTGGCTGGGGAATTCTGGGAGTTGAAGTCCACAGGTGTTAAAGCTGCCAAGATTGGACAGACATACACACACACACACACACACACACACACACACACACCAACACACACAAATACCGTGGGTTAGAACTTAGTAGCAGAGTCCTGCTTTGCTTGGGTCAATCCTCGCCAACATTTCCGTTGCTAAGCAAGGCGTCCGGTTAAGTGAGTCGTGTCTGATTTTTACCACATTTTTGCCACCGTTGTTAAGTAAATCTTGTGGTCGTTCAGCAAATCCGGCTTCCCCACTGACTTTGCTTGTTTGGAAGCCGGCTGGGAAGGTCGCAAATGGTGATCACGTGACAATGCAACCGTCATAAGTACGTGCCAGTTGCCAAGCCTCTGAATTTTGAGCACGTGACCACGAGGATGCTGTGGCGGTCTTAAGTGCAAGGACCAGCGTTTTAAGTCACTTTTCCAGGGCTGTTGTGACCTCCAACAGTCACACACAAAAAAAATGGTTGTTAAGTTGTAAGCTATGTAGCTAGTACGAGGCTAAACCTGTGCCTAAATACGAAGATTGGTATTGGCGTCTTTCAAATTTCAGTATAGGTTGTCTTTGACTTATGATCATAATTAGCCCAAAAGTTCTGTTGCTAAGCGAGACAGTTGTTAAGTAAATATTGCCTTGTTTTATGACCTTTCTTGCCACCGTTGTTAAGTGAATCACTGCAACAGTTAAGTTAGTGACACGCTTCGTAATAATGATCATGATGATGATAATGATGATGATGATGGAAGGGATCTTGGAGGTCATGTAGTCCAACCCCCTGCTCAGGCAGGTAACCCTATACCATTTCGGACAGATGGCTGTCCAGTCTCTTCTTAAAAACTTCCAGTGTTGGAGCATTCGCCGCTTCTGGAGGCAGGTTGTTCCACTGGTTAATTGTTCTAACTGTCTTGAAGTTTCTCCTTAGTTCTAGGTTGCTTCTCTCCTTGATTAGTTTCCATCTGTTGCTTCTTGTCCTGCCTTCAGGCACTTTGGAGAATAGCTTGACTCCCTCTTCTTTGGGGCAGCCCCTGAGATATTGGAAGACTGCTATCATGTCCCCCCTCGTCCTTCTCTTCATTAAACTAGACATCCCCAATTGCAGCAACCGTTCCTTATATGTTTTAGCCTCCAGTCCCCTGATCATATTTGTTGCTCTTCTCTGTACTCTTTCTAGAGTCTCCACATCTTTTTTACATCGCGGTGACCAAAACTGGATGCAGTATTCCAAGTGTGGCCTTACCAAGGCATTGTAAAGTGGTATTAATACTTCATGTGATCTTGATTCTATCCCTCTATTAATGCAGCCTAGCACTGTGTTGGCTTTTTTGGCAGCTGCAGCACATAGCTGGCTCAAAATATTAAGTGAAGCTGGCTTTCCCATTGACTTTGCATGTCAGAAAGTCGCAAAAGGGGATCACGTGACCTCCCCCGGGATGCTGCAACCGTCGTAAATATGAAGCAGTTGCCAAACGGTCAGATTTTGATTGTGACCGTTCCGAGTTGCAGTGCCCTGGAAAAAGTGACTTACGACCGTTTTTCACACTTAATGTCCGTTGCAGCATCCCTGTGGTCAGGTGATCAAAATTCAGACGCTTGGCAACCGACTCATACTTATGGCGGTTGCAGTATCCCTGGGATCACATGATTCCCTTATGCGACCTTCTGCCAAGCAAAGTCACAATTGTGTTACTAATGTAACCCCCCCAGTGATATCCTTAATAACTGTGGCGAGAAAGTGGGGGCAAAACCCCCTTCACAAGTGTCCCGCTTAACGGCAGAAATTTCGGACTCCATTGTCGTAAGTCAAGGAGTAGCTGTGTTCCAGCGAGGGGTTAGAAAATTTGCACGGGGGGGGGGCAGAAATCCAACAAGCCGCTGTGAAGAGGGATATGCGTTTGTGTGTGTGTGTTTGTGTGTTACTTATCCTTTGCACGCTGCCGTGGAAGAAAGGATGGATGGACGGAAGGGCGTGAAGCAACTTTAGGCCGGGAGCAGGAAATCTGGGCAGTTTTGATCGTTTTTTTCATCCGGGCGAGCGTTAAAAGGCCACTAAATTGAACATTAACGAGGCGCAAGTGAATTGGAGACAGCTTCCCCCTCGCGCCCCTCCCTTCACCGGAGGTGGCTGGCCACAAGTGCATTAGAAAGGCAAATCCATTATGCAGCCCCCAGGAGGGAATTAATTTTTTCCCAGAAAGTACTTACTGTCTCCGTTCCTCTCCTTTCTCCTTCTCTGGTTTTTTTTTTCTTTCTTTTTTTTCCTGGCAAGTGCTATCTTTTTTTTTTTTTTAAGAAAAAAGAAGCTTCGTATCCCCAGTAAAATGAATGCAGATGCCTATGGGGATGGCCAATATTCAAACTTTGGCCCTTTCCTGCCCAGTTTTAATAATAATAATAAGGAGAAGGAGAAGGAGAAGGAGAAGGAGAAGGAGAAGAAGAAGAAGAAGAAGAAGAAGAAGAAGAAGAAGAAGAAGAAGAAGAAGAAGAAGAAGAAGAAGAAGAAGAAGAAGAAGAAGAAGTAGTAGTTGGAAGGGACCCTGGAGGTCATCTAGTCCAACCCCCTGCTCAGGCAGGAAACACTATACCGTTTCGAACAAATGGCTGTCCAGTCTCTTCTTAAAACCCTCCAGTATTGGAGCATTCACCGCTTCTGGAGGCAGGTTGTTCCACTGGTTAATTATTCTAACTGTCAAGAAATTTCTCCTTAGTTGTAGGTTGCTTCTCTCCTTGGTTAGTTTCCATCCGTTGCTTCTTGTCCTGCCTTCAGGTGCTTTGGAGAATAGCTTGACTCCCTCTTCTTTGGGGCAGCCCCTGAGATACTGGAAGGCTGCTATCATGTCCCCCCTCGTCCTTCTTGTCATTAAACCAGACATTCCCAATTCCAGCAATCGTTCCTTATATGCTTTAGCTTCCAGTCTCCTAGTCATGCATTTTCAATGCATTGGATGGTTTCCATGCTGAAAGAGAGACCGATGAGAGCAAGGCTCTCTGTGCATGCTCAGAAGTCCTCTACTCCTTAAATCACTGATGCAGACTCCGGCAAACATTTTGTGTTTGGGCGTCTTCAAAGTAGTGGCTTGATTCTCTCTGGCGAGGGGATGAAATAAAGGCAATCAGCAACTTAGAACTGTTCGTTTAGTGACGAAGTTACGACGGTGCTAAAAAAACGGATTTATGACCATTTTTCATACTGGCGACCATTGTAACATCCCCCAATGGTCACAGGATGAAAATTCAGAGGCTTGGCAATTGATTCATACTTATGACGGTTGCAACTTCCCGGAATCCCACCTTTTGCGACTTTCTGGCGAGCAAAGTCAATGGGGAAGCCCGATTCAAATAACAAACTGTGTGACTATAATTTAACAAGTGCGGTGATCAAATTCACTTAACAGCTGTCTCACTTAGTGACAGAAATTTTGGGCTCCATTGTGGTCGCAAGTCGAGGACTCCCTGTATTTGCCAGAAACGTGAGCGAAACAAAGCTTTGATTTGGTTTCATTCGAGGGAATCCAACTGCTTTCTACACGGGGCTTGCCCTCGCTCAAAATCTGGGTTTGGCCTGTGGCTAGTCAAGGCTCATGAATCTGCAGGAGAAATAACAGCCAAGGTCATAAAATCAGTCCCCGTGTGTGGTCTGAAGGCATACAGGCAGTCTTTGAATTATGACTGTCATGGAGTCTGATTATTATTTTTTTTTATTGAAAAGTTTTATAAAAATTACAGTATACACCCCAAAGCCCATCCACCCTAACCCCCCCCCCTTTCCCACTTCCCAGAGCTGAATACAGGGTTACAAATATAATAATCAAACTCTAACTAACATTAACCAACTATATAAATAACCAAGTCCATAATGCGCTTTAACTCCCCTTTAACATAAGTATAAACAAATTAAAAATAAACATAATAATATAAACGAGTCGATATCCTAATTATTAAACAATACAATATCCAAATTGTTAAACAATGCTAATACTAAAAATAATAATAAAACTAATAAAACATCTACTATAATAAACTATTAATAATAATAATACTCTAAAATTTACTCATAAACTAGATGGAACTTTTTAGTCCCATATTTATTCTGAATATAATCTATCCATCTTCTCCAGACCGAAATGTATCTTTCTTGTGAATGATCCTTCAAGTAAGCAGAAATCTTAGCCATTTCTGCACTTGTGATTATTTTATAGCCGTCATGACTTACGACCGTGATGGGCAGGCTCCAGGACGGTCGTAACTCGAGGAGTACTGAGAAGTTGAACCGAAGATCAGGAAGGCAGTGGGAACACCATCCTATCATGTTGCCGAGAAAATGACGGAGCGGGTGCGATGAAGTGAATTAGGGCCAGGCAAAGCCTGATTTCAAAAGCAGAAAATCTCAATGTTTGCAGAGACAGGTTGTCAGTTCAACCGGTCTTGCTCGCTCCTTTTTGGATTTCAGACTGTGGTCCCAAACTTTGAGGAAAACAAAACAGCCCATTGGCCGTGTTAAAAGTTTAAAAGCAGAGATTTTTTTTGCATGAAAAGCAGATAAGGGCTGAGATCGGATCTTCCTAGACATGTTTTGGGGGAATTCAGGCCGATGATATATTGTAATGGTGTTTTACCTTCCTCCCCCTCCCCTTTTCAACCCTTGCAGACAGAGATTGCCAAACGGCTGAATGTCATCTGCGCTCAGCTTATCCCCTTCCTGTCTCAGGAGGTGAGTGTCATCCCAGCTTTTTTGTTTCTCCCATCCTAGTTGCAGGCAGGGTGTAAAATGTTCAGGGTTTTTTTTTTTTTTTAAAAAAAATATGGAGCCAGTTTGATCTAGTGCAGGGGTAGGCAACCTCGGCTCTTTTATGACTCGTGGACTTCAACTCCCAGAATTCCTGAGCCGGCATGGCTCAGCATGGAAACCTCTCCCTTTCCCCTCAGCATGGCTAGTTCAGGAATTCTGGGAGTTGAAGTCCACCAGTCATAAAAGAGCCAAGGTTGCCTACCCCTGTCCTAACCTCATCCCTCAGGACAGGGAACTATGGCAACTTTTATGACTCGTGGACTTCAACTCCCAGAATTCCTGAGCCGGCCATGCTGAGGGGACAGGGAAAAGTTTCCAAGCTGAGCCATGCCGGCTCAGGAATTCTGGGAGTTGAAGTCCACCAGTCATAAAAGAGCCGAGGTTGCCTACCCCTGGTCTAGTGGTAAAAGCACCAGGCTAGAAACTGGGAGACCGGGAATTCTAATCCCATCTTGAATATGAAAGCCGGCTGGGTGACTTTGGGCCACTCATCAGGAGACTGTGAGTTCTAGTCCCGTTTTGGGCATGAAAGCTGGCTGGGTGACTTTGAGCCAATTACCAGGAGACAATGAGTTTAGTCCCACTTTAAGCATGAAAGCACCAGGCTTTCATGAAGACACCAGGCTAGAAACTGGGAGACCGGGAGTTGTAGTCCTGTCTTAAATATGAAAGCCAGCTGGGTGACCTTGGCCCATTCATCAGGAGACACTGAGTTCTAGTCCCGCCTTAGGCATGAAAGCTGACTGGGTGACTTTTAGCAAATCACCAGGAGATGGTGAGTTCCAGTCCCGCCTTAGGCACGAGAGCCAGTTGGGTGACTTTGGACCAATCACCAGGAGATGGTGAGTTCTAGTCCCGCCTTAGGCATGAAAGCCCGCTAGGTGACTTGGGATAATCACCAGGAGATTATGAGTTCTAGTCCGGCCTTGGCATGAAAGCTGACTGGGTGACTTTTAGCCAATCACCTGAAGACTGTGAGTTCTAGTGTGTAAAGTGACTATGGGCATCTTGGACGTAAGGAAGGTGATAAATCCACCACTATGATGATTTAAAATAAACATAGAGCATCCAAAGTTTTGTAGGTGATAATCATGTTTCTCACCCCTGTTGTTTTTCTGTAGCACCAACAACAAGTGGTCCAGGCGGTGGAACGGGCCAAGCAGGTGACGGTGACAGAACTGAATGTGGCAATCGGGGTATGTAGGGCTCCCTTTTCTGTCTCTTGTTGAGGGTTTTTTTGTCGTCCAGAGACACTGTTGTGATTCCTGGGGAATATGGGTCATTTGTTACCTGGTACATATCATTGTGTTTAAGGAGAAACTTTCCATCGCCGGGAGTTGTACAAGATTACACAACTTTGCTTGTAGGTGTTGGGAGTTTACAGCACTGGTGGCTTTTAAGAGAGAAATCGCCCCTTCTCAAGGGTGGCTGGATTGGTTTTCTGGAAGAGCACAAGGGTTGGACTGGATGATCTTTAGAGTGCCTTTCAGCTTCACTATTTTAGAATTCTGTTTTTTCTGCAGACTCCTGAGGGCTGGACTAGATGACCCTTAGAGAACTTTCCAACTCCACGATTTTAGGATTCTTTTTTTTTTAATCCTGCAAAATGCAGAGGGTTGGGTTAGATCAGCGGTTCTCAACCTGTGGGTCGGGACCCCATTTGGGGTCGATCGACTATTTCACAGGGGTCGTCAAACAAGGCTGTCCACCATTTTTTTCCCCTTTTCCGGCGGGTGCCTTACCTCCTTTGGGCTGGCCAGCTGGTGGCCCAGCTGGTGGTCGGCCTGCTCCGTCTCTGCCGCTTGCCAGCTATGCCTCGGCCGGCGCAGTGGGCGGCACCACGCATGCATAGCGCTCCCAAGCAGGGAAAGTCCTCGACTTATGACCGGATGGTTAGTCCTCGACTTACGACTGGTTTAGTCCTAGACCTACGACCGGTTTAGTCCTCGACTTATGACCGGTTGGGGGGTCGTGGCATTAAAAAGGTTGAGAACCACTGGGTTAGATGATCTTTAGGGTGCCTTCCAAATCCACAGTTTTAGGATTCTATTTTTTTTTCCTGCACAGTGCAGAAAGCTGGACTAGAGATGATCTTTGGGGTATCTTCCAGGTCCACTATTCTGGGATTCTGTGCAAAACATTCCAGGTTTCGGGCACTATTGGGGTGCTGGTGGGGGGAATTCTGGGAGTTGAAGTCCACCTGTCTTAACGTTGCTGAGATGGAGAAACGCTGATCTAGTCCAACTCTCAGCAGTGCGAGGCAAGTCAATGAAACCGTCCCCCAGAGGTGGGGGGTTATCCAGCCTCTTCACAAAACCCTTCCGAGATGGAGAACCCACAATGTTGTCGTTCCAAGGCTGTTCCACTCTTGCCCACCCTGAAGAAGTCATTTTCTTATTTTAAACAAAATCTGGGAGTGCTGCAACCGAGGCTTGTGCTTTCCATGCCAAGAAAATAGAAACCGGATTGTCTTCCCTACAGCACCATCTCTTAGACGTGAATACAGGTGGTCCTCGACTTATGACCGTAATTGAGCCTGGAATTACGGTCAGAGGGCATGTTGGCCCTTAAGCAGATCACTACATAATCGGGACCGACTTAACAGTCTTTATTCCAAGTGAATAAAGTGAATTAAGTGAATCCATTGTCTGCAATGGACATTTTCGGCTGGAAGTAAAAGGTGGTTACAGCAAAAAAAATGTTATAATTCGTGGTCATACACCATGTTTCCCTGAAAATAAGACCCCAACCAGAAAATAAGCCTAGCATGATTTTTAGCGTGTGCCTAATATAAGCCCTATCCTAAAAATAAGCCCCAGTTAAAAGCTTGCGTGGCTGGCCGGCCACCCACTCCATCCAACTGTCTGCTTGCCCACAGCTACAACGGGGCAGGTGTGTTGGTGCCACCATGGCGAGACAGGTGGCTGGGCGTGGGTGGCCTGGCTGTGGGGTCCCTGATGGGCACATGGGGCAGCTCCGCCACCTGCCTCGTGGGCACGTCCGGCAGAGGCCAGCCCAGTGGTAGCAATGCCCCCATTCACCTCAACTGCACAGGCATCACACACTTCACAGCCCCAGAGTGCACCAGCCAAGGGGCCAGCGGGTTGCGGCTTCTGCCGGACGCCTTCGGCCCCCGCACGTTCGCCGCCTCCTGTACGTGAGAAAATAAGACATCCCTGGAAAATAAGTCCTTAGTGCAACGGTTCTCAACCTATGGGTCGCGACCCCATTTGGGGTCGATCAACCATTTTTCGGGGGTCGCCAAAGAAGGCAATCCGCCATTTTCTCCCCTCAGGGGGCGGTGCCGCGCATGCGCAGAACGTTTGTGTGACGGGGGTCGCCGTCACACAAACGTTGAGAACCACTGCCTTAGTGGGCCTTTTGGACCAAAAATAATTGGGTAAATGCAGGCTAGTGCCCAGTTTGTAATCATATGATCACAAGGGGTGTGGAGCAGCTGTTGGGGCTTCAAGCCCAGGGGGTAAGGACAGATAGTCCTTGACTTAACGACCACAATTGAGCCCCAGACATTTTGTTGTTAAGTGAGTTTTTGCCCTCTTTTAACCACTTCTTGCCACAGTTGTTAAGCGAATCACTGCGGCTGATTAGTCAGTAACCCAGTTGTTAAATGGATCTGGCTTCCCCCATTGACTTTGGTGGTCAGAAGGTGGCAAAACGCTGCAACCGTCATAATTATGAGCCAGTTTTCATAGTCCAAATGTTGATCCACAGGGATGTTGTAACTGTCGTAAGTGAAAAATGGTCCTAAGTCGCTTTTTTTCAACGTCATTGTCATTTTGAATGGTCACTAAGCGAATTGTTGCAAGTTGAGGACTCCCCGTAGTCCGAGGAAGGTCCGTGGTAACTTTGAACGATCGCTTAACCACCATCGTAAATCGAGGACTGCGATAGTCAAGAGACACTATCCTGAGTCCTGCTTGGCTTTCTCCCACCCCCAGGATGATACGTCCCTCAAAAATATATTTGTGCCAAATTGGGAAGTTTATTTGTTTTATTAACTTATCATGAAAGTCTATATCGCCTAACTTTCAAACGACTCTGAGAGACTTAACTACCATCATCCCGGCTGCTGTTTATTTACACCGATTTATTTTGCGGATTTAAAAAAAAATGGTTTTAATAGCTTTTAAAATGGTTCTAATTGTTTCAAAACTTTAAAATTGCAGGCTGCCCAGAGTTGCTTGCTTGAGTGGGGCGGCTATAGAAATTGCACGAATGAGTAAAAAAAGAAATGAATAAAAACCAAACAAGGAAATTGCAATAAAACCGATTAAAAGATGGGGGGGGGGATTGATAAAATATGGTTAGTCTTGTCCTTCGCTCGAGGCCAGGGTAAAGTTTTCTCTGGTCTTCTGAACAACAGCAAAGTGGTGTGTGTGTATATCCAGATTTTGGGGTGACGGGGAGCCTCATTTCCGAATACAGGGGCTGCTACAGAGAATGTGGCTTTCTGGGGTCCCAAGAGATGGTATTATTTAATCCAGAGGTCTTCAAACTTGGCCCTTTTATGACCTGTGGACTTCAACTCCCAGAATTCCTCAGCCAGGCACGTGTGCCTGGCTGAGGAATTCTGGGAGCTGAAGTCCACAAGCCATAAAAGAGCCAAGTTTGAAGACCCCTGATTTAATTGAAAGAACCAGGGTGCATAAACCCTGTCACATCAAATTGACGGAGAGATATGGGGTCCCTCAAGTGTAGGTAGTCCTCAAGTTATGATTGTATTGGAGCCTGCCCTATCACGGTCATAAAATGGGTCACACGTGACCAGCCCTATTTTATGATATTTTTTGCGATGGCCATGTAAACCAATGATTCAATTGTGGGCCTGTTTTTTAGCCTAAACTGAGAAGTTAATGTCAGTTTTGAGGTAAAATTACTGTCATGGAGGATGCTACAAATGACAAGAGCCTGAAGTTCATTAACATGACGTGTGTGTGTCTGTGTGTGTGAGACTGTTGGAACTTTGAATCAGGCTCATAAATAACCCCCAGGTAAGTCCGTTGTAACTTCATCCAGTCGCAAGTCGAGGCCTTAAAGAGGGAGTGCTCAACTTACAACCACAACTGAGCCTACAATTTTCCGTTGCTAAGCGAAACACTTGTATTTATGATGGTCCTGTGATCTCCATTTCTGACCTTCCCAGCCAGCTTTTGACCAGCAAAGTCAATGGGGGAAGCCAGATTCACTCAATGACCAAATGATCCAGTTAACAATTATGGCAAGAAAGGTGGTAAAATGGGGCAAAGCTCACTTGGATTTGCATAGCAGTGGAAATTTTGGGCTCAGTAATGGTCGTAAGTTGAAGACTCCCTCTTTAAGGCCTAGTTACAGAGAATCCATATCCATAAAAAAAAAAGCTATACTCACTTAACGACCGCATGATTTGCTTGGACAACTGCACTGAGCCGCTTAACAACCATGGCCCAAAAAAAAAAAACGTGTGAAATCAAACTCAACTCGCTGAACCACCGTCTTGCTTAGGAAGAGAAACTCTGATCCCAGTTGTGGTCGTTAAGTCGAGGACCCTCCTGTATTTCTTTTCCTCGCCGGCTTGTGCCAAACGGTAATTGGCGATGGATCCATTTCACTCAGATCGGTCGCCTTGGCAATTCGCGGTGGTGTTAAACGTCCCCCCCCCTTTTTTTTTGTTAAATATAAGTGCGTGTTATATTTTTCAACGCTCCGCTTGCCTGTTGTACAGGAAAAAGGGAGGTTGTTTTTTTTTTATGTTCCCTGGAAATTGCCAACGAAGCTGACTCCGGTGCAACTGCACCGAGGCCTCAGTGGCGACTCGATTGCCTCTTTTCTTTAATATTTGATTTGAGGGCCATAATCAAGGACGAGGGAGGCTGCTCAGCTGTATAAATAGGATCCTAATGGATGCCTTGCCTTTTCCTGGCTCTCCCCCCCCCCATCTCCTCGCTGGATTGCTGCAAATCTGGCTGAATTTTCTTCCTTTTTTTTTTTTTTCAAGGTTCTTTTTTGAGATCATTCATTATTTACTGAGCTGAGCCCTCTTAGCAGGATCTCGTCTCCTGCAAACTTTGATGGATTTGTCTGCATCCTGGGGAATTGTTTTTTTTTTTTTGTTGTTGTTGTTGTTTTTAAATGTCTGCCTTCATTCGTGTCTTTGCATCTTTTATGGGGGATGCAAAGGCTGGGTTGGGGGGGGGGA